TGGAGACCGGACACAGCTCTCGGGGGTGGTCTCGGGCTCGGGGCTGGGCCCAGCTGGACTCAGGGAGCGAGCCCTGGGTGTTAGGCTCAGGGAGAGGCCCCTAGGCATCTTTGGGGAGGGTACACCTGTCCTTGCACTCCTGTCTACCGGGGATTGCCCGATTTGTGGCCCACTGGAGGCACAGCAAAAAGGAGCCAGTGTTGAGATCCCCAGTTCATGCCCTGCCTGGGGACTGGCACTGCAGGCTGGCCCCCAAAATCCCATCAGGCCTCTGGGTTGTCTCTGTTTTAAAGCTCTTTCTTCTGTTTCAGAGTGAGAGGCTGTCCTGGCCAGCACCAAGGCAGTGCCCGGGGGCACTGAGTGCAGCAGTGACTGTCTTTGAGGGTGCCAGCAGGGAGATGGAGGCCCTGTGCTCGGAGCTGCTCCTGCCCACACCAGGAGAGGCAAGAGCTGTGGGAAGCCCTGGTGCGGCCAGCTCCGGTCTGGCTGGGACACCCCCGCTGACTGCCAGCCAGGACTTGCTGCTGGCAGAGGCATCAATGCCTGGGGAAGGGGCTCACGCTGAAGGAAGCAATGTAGAAATATTCATCGAGACAGTGGCTGGCAATGTAACGCTGAGCAATGAGGCCAGTACCACAGGTATGGGGTGCAAGGAGGGCAGCATGGGCCCAGTGACACTCAGCAGAGGGAGAGAGGTCTGGCCAGGGCCCCTGTCCCTTCCAGCCAGCACCTTAGGGACACCAGGTGCCCTCGTGTCTCTGACCTCATGTGCATCACCAGTCTGGTGCCACCATTGAGTGCAGACCTGGCACAAGGTTGGGATTTGGATGGGGAGAGTGGCTGTCAGTAGGGACCAGGTGGAGATCTCCTGGGAATGGGGCCAAGCCAGCCTCACATCTCTGCGTGCCTCAAAGGTGCAAAAGGACAGACCTGGTCATCGTGGTCACCAGGGTGGTGGTGTTCCCTTTCTTATGGGACATATCCTGGGATATCCTGGGCAGGGGGTGGGCTGTGGTTCCCAAAATATAATTTGTGGCAACGGGGGTTTATTCTCCTTGTCCAGAGCTGGAACTGAACCACCAGTCCCACACTCTGGGCCTGGTGAAAGCCCTTTCTAATGCTCGCCCCTTGCTCTCTGCAGAGGTTCTGGTCAAAGTGGTGGAGCTGTACTTCTGCGAGAGGTGTGGCCAGAGCTTCCCAGAGGCCTCCCTGCTGTCCCAGCACCAGTGCCTGCTGCTGGCCCCTCCTGGGCACCTGGAACTCCCTGGGGCACTGCTGACTTCTGTCAGCGAGGACCAGAGCGAGCCAGGGGGCTCAGAGCTGCCTGGAGCTGGCACACAGGAAGGCTCTGCTCCTGAGCGCCTGCTGTGCCCCATCTGCCGGGAGGCGTTCACGCAGCCTGCCCAGCTCAAGGAGCACTTCAAGACCCACCGTGCCCCACCAGGAGCCCTGCCCTGCCCAGAGAGAGGCTGCCACTTCACCACGGAGGACCGCAAGCAACTGCGCAGTCACCTGCGCCACCTGCACGGGGCCTCGCCTGTGTCGTGCACCTGCCGGGCCTGCCCGCTGCTCTTCCCCAGCCGCCCAGCCATGGAGCAGCACCACCGGACACACTTCCCCTTCCACTGTGGCCACTGCGACTTTGTCACAGCCAGTGCCAAGCTCTTCTGGCAGCACAAGAAGGGCCACACCACAGAGCCCCCGTCCAAGATGCCCGAAACAGGTGGCCCCTGCAGTTCAGAGCCCCACAGCCTTGAGCAGTGCTGCATCCTACCATCAGGTATGGCTGGGTGTGGCGCTGGGGGCTGTGGCTGTTGCAGAGGCTGACTGTGTCCGTGCATCCCAGTTAAAACTGGGAGGAGTTGGGGGGCAAGGTTGGAGGGCTGGGAACCCTGCATTCCTTCCTCCCTGCACAGCACAGTTTGTGCCCTCATCTCAGCCAGGAGGTTTTCCTGTATGGGGGTGGTGGGGACAGAGTGGTCCCTCTTTCCTTCAGCGTGATGATCTCTGTCTTTCCCCACTGAAGCAGCAGCAGAAGAGCAGGAGGAGGCAGGAAATTGCCACCCTGGCTGGGAAGCCAGCACAGCAGAAGCCAGGCCAGCAAACCCTGCAGGTACCGAGGACAACTCCTTGAAGGGGCAGAAGGCATCAGCTGGAGAAGAGGATTCAGACAGCGGTGGGGATGAATCGCAGGAGGAGGATGGCGAGAGCCCCTGTGAAGCCGAGGCCAAAGAGGATGGGAAGGCAGCTCCTGAGAAAGGCAGAATGCCACAGGCACACCACTTCAAAGGTGGAATGCAGGGCCCTACCAGGAGCTGCTCAGGCTTTGTGTTATGAACAAGCAGCACAGCTTTGGGGCTGGTGTGGAAGTATGGGCCAGGCTCATGGGGCCTGGGGGTCCTGTGCCATCCAGTAACCCCACATCTCCTGCATGTACCAGTGCACTGTTCCCCTGACCTCTACCCAAGCAAATCTGTCCCTTCTTTTTCCTGTTCACACCCACTGTCAGGTTTAGGCAAAGGTCTGCCTGCATTTGGGGGTCAGGGGCACATGGGCAGGCCTGATATAGGCTGTGCTTTGCCAGCGTTGAGCTGAAAAGAGCTCACCAGGAAGTGTGCTGGTGACTTGAGGTGGTGACAGTCCCTCTGAGTAGGTGGCTGCTGTGCAACCACACGTGTATAAGCCTTCACCCCGGTACAGCTGGATCAGGGACAGAACATTTGTCTGTGCTCTCCATCTTTTTCCTACTGATTGCTCTCCCTCCTCTGCTCCTCCAGGGGATGTTGCAGAGGGCTCCGAGTACCTCTACAAAACCCACATGTGCCCTGAATGTAAGCGGTGCTTCAAGAAGCGGACGCACCTGGTGGAGCACCTCCACCTGCACTTCCCTGACCCCAGCCTGCAGTGCCCCAACTGCCACAAGTACTTCACCAGCAAGAGCAAACTGAAGATCCACATGATGCGGGAGACAGGCGAGAAGGCCCATCGCTGCCCGCTCTGCCACTACAGCTCGGTGGAGAAGAACGCCCTCAACCGCCACATGGCCAGTATGCACGAGGACATCTCCAACTTCTACTCTGATGTTTACTCCTGCCCTGTCTGCGAAGAGAAGTTTCGGCTCAGCCAGGCCCTCAAAGAGCACTTGAAGACTCACAAAGCCGAACCCAAGAGGCTGAGCTGCTTCCAGGGAGGCTGCGACTACTGTGTGGAGGACCGGAAGGAGTTTGTCCGTCACCTCAAGGATGCTCATGGCATCAAGGCAGTGGAGTGCAAATACCACGCCTGCTCACTGCTCTTTGGCACAGCTGAGGCCATGGAGGCTCACCGGAAAACCCACTACGCCTTCCACTGCCAGCAGTGCGACTTCATCTGCTCCAACAAGCACGTTTTCCGCAAGCATAAGAAGCAGGGGCACCCAGGCAGTGAGCAGCTCCAGTGCAGCTTCTGCCCCTACGCCACTTTCAACCCCGTGGAGTTTCATGACCACGTGGGCAAGATGCACGCCAACGAGAAGATCCACAAGTGCACCGAGTGTGCCTTCGCCACTGCGCACAAGCGGGTGCTCATCCGGCACATGCTGTTGCACACTGGTGGGTGTCCGCTGCAGGAGTCCCAAGAGCCAAGCTGAGATGGGGGTGGTGTCCTGTCCTGGGTCTGGGTAGGCAGGGAGGGCTGGGTCAGGGCTCCTGGGTCCCACCACTGGCTCTACCACCCTAGTGTCACTTGACTGAAGTTGTGGCATGTTCCCACCCCTCCTGTCA